TGCATACGCTGATACGACGAATAAGCATCGACGCTTCATTCTGTAGCTGTTGACCCGAACTGAACCGTTGAGACGTACAGCGCACAATCGGCTACTGACTGGAATCCAGTCAAGAAGCGAGCGCTCAGCCTTGGCACTTAGCGCAATCCCGACACCAGCAACACCGCGAGCTTCGGATACCGAATCGCCTGACACACGGAGGGTGAAGTGTGAGGTCAAGGTTGTGTTAAGAGAACGCAGGGAAATTATTGAAGTAGGGTCTTGTATGCATGTTTCGGAGACATAACATACATCTACATTGAAAGTTTCGAGAGTTTTAGCCAGGGCAGCCTGTTGACCAATCTGATAGAGCGTGCGGACATTGAACGCGGCCAAGTGAAAAGGGGCTTTTGGCTTTAAAAACCCTATAGCTTCTGAATCTCTGGCCTTGATGGTAAAACGCTGAGTGATATTCGATGAGTGGCGTAAACAGGAGGCATCTGAGATTAATCTAGATTGAGAAGAAGAACTAGTCAGAACGGAAGAGTCGTTTTCCAAATGGGTGCCTAAGACTTTAGGGCACGGTATACTTCGCGGTAGCCCACACCGACGAAGGGGTTTTTCTTTGGGAACCCTAACCGGAGCCTTTGACTCAAGAGTCTGACACACAAGGTAGTGGGGCGTAAATCCAACGCGGGAGCATGAACGAAGCACCCGTATGGGAGCTTCTGGAGACCTGTCACGCAAGGCCTTTGAATTTCGGTCTTTGAGGCGCGCAAGCCATCACACCACGTCAAGGTGCAGTCTCGTCGTGATGGGGTCAAAACGCCAGAAAACATCTTAAGACTTGGCGTTCGTCAATCATCTCACTGAACAGAAACATCGAACTGGATCACGTTTACACAACACTGGAGCTCAAGGATCGAATGACGCAGCAATAGGTCACCTCATGACCTGAGAGCCGATGTTTAAAATGCCGCAGTCTCCTTTCACGCTGGTTTATCGACCAACCAGATGGAGTCCAACAAGAACGAGAGATAAAGAACTTATAAGCGACTTGGTGTACGCCGAACACCACCACTCCAGGAGCACCAAAGATGTCACCTCGGATAGCAGAGAAATTGCCATGCTCGGTGAGCAGGTGTAAAAAAATGTCTGTAGAATGCCTGCAATTCAACCTTGAACTCAACAAATCATGTTTCAAACATGTTCTCGCTCTTTTTTCTTATGCACTGGAGCATTTTACTGGCGTGCTAAAAGAATGGAACGATCTCTATCAAACCTAACATACCTGGATTTTTCGTCGGTGCATGTTTGTTCGAATAATTAGTGCGTACTTAAATGATCTGTCGATGAGACTTTGTCAATGCGATTTGCTTATGATATATCTTTGCCTCACGGCAACCAGCTGCTCGTAACTTTAATCCACACAAACCCATTTTCACTCTATTTTGCACACTAACCTAATGTTGCTAGCTGTTGTTTCAAAGTGCTACATAGGGCTCCCTCTCCTTTACACTTTGTTGTCTTGGGCTCAGTGTTTTTTCCTGGTTATTTTCAGTACATCTATTGGAACTGTTTTGTTTACTTCTTTGCACCTTGCTGTTCCTAGTCCTGCCGAAATCAGACTGCTGTCAAATTGGTCGTCGTCGATTGCCCTCCTGTGGTCGAAGTACTGATCCGACGACCCAGTCTGCAATACCAGTTAGGATTTAGCGTGCAAGACGGTATCATATGCAGCCTGCTTCGGGGTGGAATCGCTGAACGTGGCGGAATCCGTGTGGACCACCGTATCATTGAGATCAATGGTCAGAGTGTCGTGGCCGTGTCCCATGAGCGCATTGTTCACATGCTTGCCAATGCTGTCGGTGAGGTAAGTGCACCGTCCATCCATCCAGACAACCATCCATCCATCTAACCTCCGGTTCATTTTAACTTGTGCCCCACAACCCGATATTCCCACGTCACTTGCAATCAGTATCATAGTTTGCTTCCATTGGATTTTTCTAGGTGGTATCCTTAGATGACAAAAGAAAAGCATATAAGAAACAATCACCCACACCGTTACCAATAATGTGGTGTGACTGTTGTGCCGTTTAGCACTGAGATGACGAATTAGGTTTCACGTCGCGTCCGGCAATTAGAGACAAACTTCTGCCTGTGGTTTAGAAGTAGATCCAGCAGCGCACGCGTCCTCATCGATAGCTTGACAACACGCACTGCGGATATGGAGTAAATTACCTATTAGCCATGGATTGTGGTTCCCTTTGTTAGGAAAGACACCGAAATATGTATGTGTGAATTCGTTAGCAAAGCTGGATCTAAGAACTCGAAAACCAAAATGGCTTATTCGCGGACCAAACTACCGGGACAGCTTCGTTGTGAAAGCTCCGGTTAGTTCAGGTTAGCTTTTAATAGTCCATTATGACTCAAATTAAATGAAAATTCACTGATTGTGCAACTAGATTCCGTTGGAGACCTGCGAACTTATTTCTCACGACGGAGCACACCGTACAGCTTCATTGTGTTAGTTAGAAATAATTTAGTAATCACGTTTACGAAATACAGAATAATTTCTTGAAATATCCCCATTGATCATTGAAAAGACCAATGGAGCGAATAATTCTTTTCGATTATTCATTACTGTGCCAGTGGTGGCAAGCAGCTTTGCTGTCCGGTTAAATACCACGCCTAACCTATCGGGCCTTGTGTGGTTCGCCACTCCACGTCCCGGGGCTTAGGCTGCCGGTTTCCACTTCCGAACAGCATGCCCTCGTGACTATGGGGTTTGTTCCGTCTGCTGTTCAACACACTTAGATGTGCTATAAAAATGGTGCCAGTGCTTCGGGGTACACTTTTACAGGTCTTTTCATGCGCAACCCAATCAATGTCTCCCATCGTTCTTATTGACTAACGATCATAGATAATGCGAAAAATTTCCCATGAAAAGGTTTATGAAACCACAGATTTGTTTTCAATGCTTTTTCGTCCGGTAGAATGATGCATATTTTGTAATGAACCAAACAGGTGATGAGAGGATACACACAGTTGTGAAAGAAGTCAGAATTTAGAGTGAGATTGTCTTTGTGATAATCGGTGTTTGTGTCGAATGCGGAAAGTGGGTTAAACAGGGGTTGGTGTGATAGCGTGATTGAATGGATGAATGCGAGTTGATAGTCAGAGGTTATCATCAGATTACAACTGAGTGGCCACGCTGAAACCATGGATCTTATAAACTGTTTCTGGGTGCGTCATGGAGGAGAATTGCAATCGCTTCGGCTGTTGGCAAGTTGCGCCGTTTGATCTGCCTAGCTTGGACCACAGGAGAAGGCGAAATGATAAACGCAAAACGAGGTGACATCTGGGTACACTTTGGTTCGCATAAGGAGAACTGACTTGAACGTGAATAGAATACTGATCGTAGCCGCCAAAATATGCACTTGATGATCGATCTTTGTAACCGTATCCTCTCTAATGGGATGGGGATACATAGTCTTTTTGTTCTTCATGGTCATCAAAATGTCGGGATAGGAACGGGTCTAGAAATGTGCGACCATGTATGGATTCTTTTTTCAATTTCTTTAAAGTTCTCCAACAGTCTATTGTTTCTTTCACAATCACTGGTCTTTTACCACCAGCTGTTTGATTTAATTTTAAAATGTGCCGATGAAGCATTGAAATCAAGCTTGTTTACTAACCAGTGTTTTCAAAATTGTTAGTGTATTCTATTTTACGCATGGTCGAAACAGAGCCCCATTATCGTGAGAGTGTTATCTCCTTGAACAGGTTTCTCGTTCCTTCGTGATTACCATCTACGTCGAACACGAAAACCCATTTTAGAACATTTAGAACCTTACCGGCCCCTTTTCGATGATTAGGGAGAAACGTATTTCACAAACTCAACCAAAATCAAGTATTAGATACTACTTAGAGGTTGGTGCATACATTTTGTTCCAACCAGAGTACGAGGAAGCAGGCATAGGAGGTTTACACTTCACGAAGCTCGCACAGACATTCATGATAATCAGCGCAGAAATGATTACGAGAACAACGATCAGTCACTGCATGCTTACCAGTTGCTCCATATGTGCACTCGCGATGCACGAATAAGTGGAAAACCAACCCGATCAGATACACATGGATACAGAAATGGTTCGTTACTAGGTCTGTCGTCCGTGATCCAATACTGTGAAATATGCAATCGGTTGAGTCAGATAGAGTACGATAAAAGTTGTTTGAATAACCTTTATCATAAATAAGCGAATCTAATGTTTTAACCTCCTATGTCGCCCATGGAGATGTTTACGTTCCTATAAACTTTGAATACAGTGCGATTAACGAACGACTGAATGGACAACTAATCGAATTTTAGATGGAGTTGAAGGCATCGTGCTATGTATCTGAATAATAGCCATCAAGACGAAACAGTACCTTGACGGGGTGTGATTGCTTGCATGCCTCCGGGACCCAGCAAGTTCAAGCTGGTTGTCACCACCTTAGATGCCCTATCTGAATGATCACTGAGTAAAAGCTGGAAAGAATCAGTCTAACTAGACCAGGTGATGGAGCACCATAACCAGCTGATATTTTCTTAGTCTATCTACAATCTCGAACTGCGATATTTTCCTGTACAAGTTGTAGCTAGAAGTTCAGGAACTTCCAGTCTATGGATTTGCAAAACTTGGTTATGTCGGTCTCGTTAGGCTTCCCTATTGAGGACATCGGGATCAATTGAATCAGCGATTAGGAATATTGAGTGTCGCGAACAACAGCCGCGTCTGTTCTGTATTTTTAGTATGGAAACGCACTGAGCTGTTTGTTCAGTCTTACATGTGTATCCATTGATGGAACGAACCGTATCATTAGAGTTATCGGTTTATTCTTCCTTGAGCTGAAACAGAGTGATGAATTTTTGTTATATCCATGCTGGCATAGGTCGTTCATTTTCAAAAAAGTGATTTTCCGTCTCAGGTCTTGTGTGTTCTCTTGCACACAATTTGCTGTTGGTCTCCGTTTTGTTCGGTTTTTGCCTTCCGCTAGAAGTTTTTATTTCTTCCGCCAAAAAGGTTCACACAAGCACTTTTTCTTCTTTCCATATGAACTGTGCGTTTTTCGCGGTCTTGTCCGATTGCTGCAAAGCTCCATTTCATCTCTCTCTCTCTCTTCTCTGATTCAGATACATATTCGCACAATGCCAACTTCCGTCTTTCGACTGCTGACTGGCCAGGATACACCAAACTATATTTGAGGTACACCCTCTCACCCCAGGCAACATTCCCCACCCCTACACGAACCTTCCGCATCTCGGAGAGCTTGCGGTCAACGTGCCCCGAGATATCCTTATAGTCTGGGGCACATTTGGCACTAGTGCACATCCATCAAATCAAACCAGATTGTTGCATGCTTCTTTACACAACAAACAATACTGCCGCATATGCTGTGTACTTTTCGTATGTATATAAATACTTGTCATGTATGTATTATCACCCGATCCATCCAAAACGTACTTTTCTATCGCTCCGCGCGTATAAGTTCCACTGTGCTTTTTCCATCGACACGAAGCAGTCACGTGTTTATCCGAACGAGCACTTCATTTTATCCCATTGTGTCCATCCGATATGGCAATCTCACAGCCCAGTCACTAACGGTTGGGTGTGTTCATTTTATTTTACTATTGACTTCTTTTTGTCTTTGTTCCATTCACTCGGATTCATTCGAGAACCGTATTTCGAAGTTGTGTAGCATTGTGATCTAATCTCCTATCCGCTGATCCTTTCATCTCTTTCGTCACGTGCAGTGTTCCATTGTTCGCTTCAGTCAGTTCTGCGGATTCCCTCCTTCTTCAGTTCTCATTAGTCTCATTGAATGTTTTTTTGTTCGCCTCCTTTTTATTATGAACTTGTTCTTTCACCGCTCTATTCCCCACTCGGGTTCTTTACTCAATCGTATGCATGCGTGTTTATGCCTGTACCCACCTCTCTGTTTTCGATTTTTTGTCATGGTAAATTCGTTCTCCGCAAACGGACCACCTAAATACATACTGTGTAAAAGATGGTAAGATCAATTTATTACCTTTCTCGTTCTACACACCCAACCTCATTTCTGGTTAATCTGTTCGCTCATTCCTTGCTCTTTACTCTGCTGATTTCTCTCTACACATCCTGTCACTTCCAGTCAAACTGCTTACTTCTAATTATGCAATTCATGCTGTTGTTCTAGTAAGAAACGACCGGCGCGTTGGTTCTTTCTTCCGTTCGCACTTTTTTTGCCTTGGACTTCGTCGGAAGCATGGGTTCTGGAATGGCTTTCTCGCGTCCCATTTGGCGTGGTGTGATGAGAGCTTTTTAAGGACATGCGGTACAGTGTGGGTGTAATAGATCACTCTGTGTTGCGGATCGCGGTAATCGAGCTGCAGTTTGATTTATTTTCATTCACTTTGATCGTGTATACCATACCATCCGTTAGTAGACTTCCGTTCTTCCCCACCCCATATCAGGGTTAGTACTGTCGATTTTTCTACCGTGCACAACATCGCTTTGGGTTGTACGCAATAAGATGTAGCTGGTCGGTAGTCTCGTTTAACACTAAGATTACTGTCTTCCAAAAGCAGTCTGTGATGTCATTTCACTGAATCATAGTTTGGTTGATTTCATTCTCGAAAACAGCTGTGCATCATAAAGGGTGGGACCGCCCGACGTATTTCGATCGGTGATCGAAACGCCATCTATTTGATGACTACTGTTCACAGAGCTTATAACGATCTAGTATTAGTCGAGTTTGGTATCAGTCTCGAGTTCAGTCATGAAGACATTTCAGTTCAGTTCAGTTTCTATAACCATTAACCATGCACTATCGTGTGCTGGTCTTGGTTGCTGTCTTTCGATTGCCCATTTTGATGAACATAAGGAGAAAGACAGGAAAGGTTGAAAGAGAAAATTTGGGATTTCGTTGCACTAATTTCGTAGATAAATGGGCAAGATACACGAACGCCAGGGTTTACGACACCCGGCCATATCACTCAGTGTCTCTAGTCATGGGGTTTGATCATCCCAAGGTCTCCATCCAGGGAGCCTAACGGGACCTATGTGTCCCAGATTCCTGTTTAGGGTTTTCATACTCACATTCCAGGTCTTAAATTGACCACCCTTGACTTTCTTCCATCCACTATCTGCCTCGGCGAACACCGCTCGCCATTGCAACCTATTTGGTGACATGCGTAACACGTGCCAACCAACGTAATCTATGGAGGTCTCCCACTTGCTCCAGTGGGCGACCGCATTTACCTAAAACTGTGCCCCTAACCTCAGCATTGCTCATCCGGCTACCCCACCAGATTCGTGCAATGCTGCGTAGACAGCGGTGTTCGAACACCGAGAGTCTATCTTTATCCTGTTTCCTTAATGGCCAAGTTTCTGCACCGAATAGCAGAACTGACCGAACTGCCACAGCATACACTCGACCCTTAACAGACAGCCGGATGTCGCAACGGTGCCACAGATGTCCCAAGTTGTCAAATGCCAATCGAGCATCCTGTATGCAAGCTGACACTTCATCCGAGATGTGTCCACCGGGTGAGATATAACTAACCAGAAAGCAAAATTTGTCTACTTGCTCTATTACTTCCCCAGTTAGGGTGAGACTGGGTGCAGGACAAACCCAGTCTTGTAGTAACATTTTACACTTTGAAGGTGCAAAACGCATACCGAACATGGTTACACTAGCACTCATACTAACCAGAAGGGCTTGTAACTTCTCTGGATCTTCACTTAGTAGCACGATGTCGTCTGCATATTCTAGATCAGACAGCCTGCCACCTGGGAGTAAATCGATGCCACTATCCTCGCACGGGGATAGGGCTGTTTCCATAATCAGATCTCTGATAAAGTTAAATAGAAAAGGAGAGAGGTGGCAACCCTGTCGAACACCACTTTCCGTGGTGAACTCGGGTAAAAACGTACCGTAAGCTCGGACCGCACTTGAAGATAGCCTTGAATAAAGCAGTTGATACACTATAAGGAAAGAGAAGATATTGCATCACTCGAGAACGACTAGAATATTTGATTTTCACCGCGCTCAGACCGTGAATTTGCACTTCCATGAGCTACTTTTGTTTGTCGTCTTTTGAGAACTACCAGGATATTACGCAATATTTGTGACTAATGCTTCGGGCCCAAAGCACCATGCGCATGTTCATTGTCCATGGTTTTCACTGCTTGAATTATAATTATTTTCAAGCGTCGCATACCACGAATACTCGTCCAATAAATACCCTATTTGTCAGTCGTTTTAGTCGTATCGGTTAGGCACAACGATTGTCAGATAATACATGTGTTTGTTGATTACTGTTTTACAACTTTTCAGGAAGCGAATGAATCGAATTCCGGGTCGGGAACTTTGCATGCTAGGCTTTCGGTGACGAGGCCGGTGCAATAACTAGGGATAAAGTACTTAGTTCCAGCAGCCATATGAAACCGAAGAAACTCGATCGATTAAAGGAATAAGTGTGGTTTGACGAAATGAATCTTCAATAAGGGTATGTTAAATGGAGTATGACTCAGGACAAACTATTGTATTTTGTATTGTCATTTCAAGCTTTCAATCAGCAGTGCGTTCGTTTCACAAGCAAATATAGGTGTCTTAAGCAGGTCACTTTTACTTATATCTATCCTGAAACATTACCGCATGTAGTCGCATAGCTTTTCCGTAACCCGTACCGTCGTCTATCTTGGCCAAAATGTAACGAGTTTTGTATACAAAGCCCGCAATGTGCAGGCAGTGGGCAGGGTTTCATCAACATGAAATCCTTTAAAAATGATTGCTTATTACGCTAATCATCTACCGTTTAAAGTTTTTATACGCTTGAATTCCTGTTTCGAATCCTTGCATTGTCTTAGATTGGTCGATAGCCAACTCCCTGACTCTCTCTCTCGCCCGTTCTTGGCACATGCACGAGTGTTGGCACGCAGAACCCCACTCGCTGGGTAGCTGCTTCCAATCAAGGCTAGATGTTCTTTGTAGTTTGTCAGTGATAAAATTTGCCAAGACGCTTGATTGTTTTGCCAGCTAGCGGTTGCTCGGTTATTTTTATTTCAATCTGTAGAAGAGCAGATTTATCAGAATAAAATCAACAGATAGCGAATTAGGGTTAGATTGAGTGACAGTTCACTTAATCTGGGCAAGTTGAATGCAATCAGGAGAACGTTCTAATCCTGCGGATTTCATCAACGAGGCTTAGGATCAGGTTTTTCTTCACCAGTGGATGGATTCTGTCTCCTAAAATCCACCGAGAGTTAGAACAGGGACAGTTTTGCGTCAAGTTAATGCAGCTTCAACTGAATCGGATGATTCCTGATAAGGTCGAAGGGGGCCGAGGGCAATAATCCGTACGGCTCAAATATTGAGAGCCGAAATCAGAAGACATACGGTAATAGATGACCTCAGAGGCTGTTTTCGGTTCTGAAAGATAGCAAATTTAACGTATTGTCTAACTCTGGTTATTTTTCTCTCGTTCGTTTTATATTGTGGAACGGGTATTTTCATTGCTCAAACCGATTTGCCGGTTACTCGCTCTTACACATGTGATCGTGCCATTCGATATGGACGATTAATTTGGTATAAAGGAAATAATGATCGCTTGAGGAATCCCTCATGCAGAGCAGGGCACGTGACTGGCAAAAATGAGACAGTTCAGTTGAGTTAAGGTGCGTTTCCAGAGTAGATGGATGGCAATCGTTTCGATCACCGTTGTGAAACCATCGATTGCATTTTACAGAGCGCGTGCACACCAGTCAACTCATTTCAGTTCAAGTCGTCCAGTTCACTTTCAGCACTTGCTTGTGAGCTTTTGTTCTCATGGAAAAATGTTGTCGGAAATTATCTGCTACCTGTCAATCGTAACCATTTGTGATACTACATTGAGATAAACATTTGAAGGGACGGCTGAGTAATCATAACACATTAGTTCTCATTTCCTCCACTCTTACATAAAACTCACTTAGCTGGAGAAAGAAAACGATGTAGCAATGGATCGTTTGTTTGTGCCAAATCGGTTCATGATTTGAAAACCTCTTCACACAATCGGAGAATTCATATCCAGTATTATTTGTGTTGTTACAGCTAGTCGTCCTTGATTCCTATATTGCACGGTTATCATACAAGATGATCATTAAAACAAGTTTTCCATTTGGATGTATCCGATCATGGGACCATGATGATTGACATTTTCCATATCAGGCGTCCGATTTAGTG